TCATTGTGAGGTCACTCTTGATAACCTTTGAAAGCTCATGGTGGCTTACAAAGATGCCTGAGGACTGGACGAAAGCAAACGTCACTCCTCCCTTCATGAAGGGCAATAAGGAGGACGTGGAAAACTATAGGTTCACCAGCCTCATCTCCATTCCTGTGAAGATGATGGAGAAAATTCCTGAAATCTTTTCCAAAGATATTGAGGTCAAACAAGTGCCTTAAAATAGTCAGTATGGATATACAGAAGGAAAATCAGCTTTGGCCAACCTAATAGCCTTCTCTAATGAGAAAATTAGCTTCATGGAAGAGGGAAGAAAAGTGGATGTTGCTTGTTTTTACTTTATCAGGGTTCTCAGCATTATCCCCCATAACAGCCTCACTGACAAAGTGATGAACTAGATCAGTGAACAATAAGGTCTATTAAAAACTGGCTCACCTGTCACGGTGAAAGGGTTGTAACCAGTGCCAGAAAGTCCAGCCACAGGCCTGTAACTAGAGATGTATTCAAAGGGTCCATACTGGGTCTCATATTGTTTAGTATCTTTATTAATTTTCTGTATGATGGGACAGAGTGTATCCTCAGCAATCCTCCTCCCTACATAGAGGAGGGGTGTTTGATAAAGTAGAAGTCTGTGCTGCCATTCAGAAGGATTTCTTCAGGCTGGAGAGACAAACTAACAGAAACAGCATAAAGTTAAACTAAGGGAAATGATAAGTCATGAGCTTGGGGAAGAATAAGTCCATGTACCAGCCCAGGCTGGGAGTCAACCAACTAGATAGCAGTTTTGCAGAGGAGGACCTGGGGTCCTGGAGGAAAACAAACTGACCATGAGCCAGCAATTTGTCCTTTCAGCTAAGAAAAGCAACAAAACCCTTGGTTGCATTAGGAAGAACACTGCCAACTGGTCAAAAGGTGTGATCTTTTCCCCTTCCGATGAAGTGCATCTAGAGTGCTGGATCCAGTTCTGGGATCCCCAGAAGAGACACAGGTACTTAACAGAATACGGTCCCTAGTGAGCAGTCACAAAGGTGACTAAACGATTGAGTATCTGTCATAGAGGCTGAGACACCTGGGACTCCTTAGCCTGGAGAAGAGAAAACTCAGCAAAATCTGACGGAGGAAGATGGAACCAGATTCTCCGTGGTGGCCAGTGAGAGGATAAGAGGCCATGAACACAAACTGAAAAGCAATAAATTACCTTTAAATGAGAAAAAATATATTCTTCACTGAAAGCATAATTGTACACTGGAAACAGAGAGGTTGGGGTGTCTCCATCCTTGGAAATATTTAAAACCTGAGTGAACAACATCCTGCACAAACTTCTCTAGTTGACCCTGCTTTGAACAGGGTCATTGTACGGGACAGTCTCCAGAAGGCTCTTCCATCCAGAGAAGATATTGGACTCAACAATTCAAAACCAAAAGCATTCTGTGATACAATTCTTCTATGATAAGCCCACAGCCCAATTCTACTTATTACAAATTAGCATTTTTAACATGGACATTAATGCATAAAATGGTTTAGCAGACGTACATATCAGAATTTTCCATTGATCTACATGAGTCTAAATAACTCAGACAATTAGAGTGGTTAAAGCAGAAAGAGAATGACATGGTTACAGCTGTGCTAGGCTGCTTTTCACTCCTTGGGCTTAACAGTCAACTGTCTTCTTGTGCAGAACTGTCAAAAGACAACCTTTGGTATAAATCCATCATAAGGTTTGAACTTGTACCTTCCAAACCAAATCACTACAGATTTGGTCTATGGTGGACAGTGTTGCCCAAGGAACATTAACAATAGCTCAAACCTTTACCAATATTCAAAGTTTTCATACAAATCAGGTAATTTTAATGTAGGACTCCTACAGTCATTGCAAAGAAGGGAACTCTAAGATTTTTCCATTATTTTTAGTGTGGACTAGATTTCCTAAATAACTGGGAAAACTATACATTGTGTGATTAGGAAAGAAAGGCATTCTCTTGGCTCTGAGAATTCCTGAAAGACAGATCTATGTGTAATTGCCAGTGTACATTTCAACATTTGGAAAAACTAAGTTCAATGACACAGAATATCATTCCTTGAAGAAGAAAAAGGTAAAAGAGAAAGCTGATATGTTTGTCCTCGAGATCAGATGCATCATTCCCTTTCATTTACATAGTTAGAATTTTTCTTAAATTCCCACAATTCTGTCATTCCAGTCCAAGCTAGTGTTCTTGAATAGAAACAAGAGGAAGCATTTCCTTAATTTTGATTAGAATTATATTTCATAAAAAATTTCTAATAATGTCCATAAAATAGTTAATAATGCAGGATTGCTATAGATTTCAACTTAACAAATCTCTTAATCATAACTTTTCAAAGCTTAAACCAATTAAAAGTTCTCTTTCCAAAACTCATCTTATATATCTATGTTAACCTACTTTTTTTTCATTTTTCATGTAGCTGATTTAATATTAAGATCTTTATAGAAGATATGTGAACATGATGCTCTATTCCTATACCCCGACCATGTAGGGAAAATTCCAGTAAGATGAGTCAGTGTAATAGCTCCTCTGGGTTGGTTTTATTATTTTTATTTTTTGATTATTCTATTGCTGCAGTGATTAGGATTTCAGGCAATGAACTAAAACAATATATTACTAGACTGGCAGTCGATCAGATCACTATCACTTCAAACATCATTTAAGAAGATCTACATTTTTTATTATTTATATAGCTCCATAGTTCATGGTGCTACATAGAACAAATCAAAGACAGACTCCCTGCCCCCTAAGAGCTTACAGTCTAGGCAAGTACAAGAACAACAGGAGAAGATAACACAGGCAGGGGACAGAGAGGGGTAGTAAATAAAAATAAAGACAGTTAGATTACAGTCACATGAAAAGCTAATGTATTTATCTTGGTGGATACAAACTGGGGAGATGAGGTGTTTGAGTAACTTTATTTTAAATTAGAACTATATTAAAAGGAAAGCTAGAAGAAAAGGGGTTTGAAAATAAATTTGATAGTGCCAGAGACGCTTGTAGGAAGGCAGAGAGGCAAGACTGGAAAGGAAGGGAACAGGACACTACCATATTTGAGGTTGAAAAGCAATGATCTTATAAGTTAGACAAGCCAACCTCAGCGACCCTTTCTTTTCCCATACGTCCTTGAAATTATGCCAGAAAATACAATCGCTTCTGCACACCTCATTTTGCCTTAAATATTATGTCAGTATATATTTGGGGCTGTATCGGATAAAATTTTGATTCCTCAGAAGTAGGAGTTTTGACACTTCTTTCAAAGTAGTCAGTATATCAGTCATCGTATTTTGTGTTTATTGATATATTTGGAGACTCTGACGTATTTAGAGACTAAGTTAAGTTGTGTCTCAAGCATACAGTACATATCCTTAAATAATAAAAATACAAAAATTATTTTATAGCATTATCATTTACCTCTTTTTATGCCATTACCTCTGCTCATGACTATTTTTCCCTGAAAACATTTTGATTTTTGTAGAGTATCAGGGCACTTCTCCTACTTTTATTTGAGGGTTTGGATTTTTGTGGGGGATTTTTTTCTTTCATAAATTATGGGTTTTTTTCATTCTGAAATATTAACTAATTAGTGAAATAGGACTAAAAAATGTTATTTTGGGTTTTGGAAACACTCTATGGATGAAACCAGGAAGGATTAATGCACAAAGCCTTAAGTAATATTAAAATGAAAAAAAAAGGTTATTTCAAGCCTATACTGAATTCTTCAACTGAAATTTGAGATAGAAATTGAGATAAAAATTGAGATAAAACCTGCCAGATACTCCCTGGATATGTCTGTACTTATGTTTATGCGAAATGAGAATACTATGAAATGACCTGCTGATGTCTATAATTGGACAAATCCTCACTCACTACAAAGCACCACAGATCTCTTGATTTCATCCAACTATTTGGTTCACAATTTTTGCTACTAGTCCTTCACAAATGATGTTTATCTTATCAGTAAGATAAAAGGGATTTTGTAATTTTTTCTATAATATTCATATAGTTATCTATTGCTATACAACCATGCTGAGCCAACTTGAAGCTCTAAATTGTATGTCTTGAGAATTCTTAAAGATTATACGTCTCTGTTTTCATTGAAGCAGAAACAGGGGAAAAAAAATCTTCCTATTCAATTTTTACCTCCAGTTGTCATCCACCAGGTAGGACCATACTACAGAGCTACAACTGCTTTAAAAGTCTTCTCTAGAGTGACTTTAAGGTCAAACAGAGAAGCACCCATCTTCCCATCCTGGGAAATCAGCAGACTAGTTAAGTTGTTACATGAAACCACATAAAGCAGTCATGTACAGATTCTGAATCTTCATGGGTCAGATACTCACTGGATTTTAACTGGTGTAGTTCCATCAATTTGAATGACAGTGTATAAATTTATACTACATGAGAATTTGGGAATTTGAAACTAGCCTTTCAGAGGCCTTTCAAAATGAGGAAGTTTTTTTCAGAACTGAGGATTTTGTTCATAACAGTGAAAGGAAAATGAACTATTGAGCTTTTTGGAGGACAAAACTACCAGTAGTATTTTCTACTGCTTTGGGGTCAGGTTTTCATTAGTCAATTTTCTGTAAATGTCTTAACAGATAAATAATTACTAATGCATAACAAAGTAAAAGCATGAGTTAATGTATGACTTTAAAAAAATAAACACATTATCCTACTAGGAATCTGTGGAGCCATGCACTTCTACTCTTGATATAAATCTCCAGTTACTTTGCATATTTCCTTTAATAATGGAAGGCTGAAATTCTCACTAAAATCTTAACTCACCACACTACTTTTGTGATAGGAGTTTTTTTCCCTGGGGGACTTTGACCCAATAAAATATCTGGAACATATTCTGCATTCACACTTACTTTGGCTCACATAAAGCTTAATGAATATTAGTCAGGTGCATCAGGTTGAGAATAAAACCTTGCTTATATCAACATCCTCAATGGAAAAAAGAAAGGTTTGTTCGAATATAATACAGCATTTTATTACATGATTTTACAAATTTTATTGTAAATCATCAATCAAATGCAATAGCCAATTTTTTTTTCCATTCCAAGCCATCATAGGAGTTTTCATTGTGTTGTATGACAGTTACTCTTTCCCCTTTGTGTTTTAAAGAATTAACTTAAATATAAATTATGTAAGTATACTCATTTCCAGAATATTTGCTAAAGGTGTTTTTATCTTGTTTATACCTCAGACAAAGATAACCTGTTCTCTATTATCACATAAATGGGGATGAAACTCACAAATATAAGAGAATTTGCTTTCTCAGTCCCTGCTCACAATGGAAATGGCCAGCTCAATCTCTATGAAGATATATGATAACTGGGTAGTAGACACAAACCTCCCATTTCCCCCTAAATTTCATTATATAATTTCTACAATTTAAATTGTATGTCTTATAATCCTGTGCTATAAAGACGATGATAAGACTAAATTAAGTGCCAGTAAACAAACGATCTTATTACTCACCAGTGACTGATAATTTATAATAATTTCAATGTTTTGTTGTGGGTTTTTTTAATTAGTCAAAATAATTATTTTCCATGTAAAGACCATCTTCATAATCTTTTTCGGTTGACATAACATTCCTACATAATCCATCCTATGCATTTCTTGTTGAAATACAAATAAATTTACAGTAGAAAGAGGTGCAAGATTCAGCATCTGTACGGCAGTATTTCAAAATGTTATGTCCAGGAACTCACCACAGTCAGGACATATAAATTAGCTTTGAAGCAGCTAAGAGCCAGATCCTGCAAATTGTAGCACAATGTACTGTAAAGGCTTGTCTCAGAAATCCCAGCAAACTGTCTTACCACACATTTAGTGGCAAGAATTGTCAGGATAGGGCACTAAGCTGAAGCTAAGTACCAGTACTGACACAAAGTACTGTACATACGTTGCTCAAATCACACAGCAAAACCAAAACAACTAAAACTGACATAAATTTAATTCTTTTCTTTTTTTTCTTTTTTTTTTTTAATTTTGTGCATTGGGTTCAAACAGCAAACTGAGTGCACTTTAACTTTTATCACAATGTGGTCAAGAGGTCTGTGTCTTTTACCATTTACACACAATTGTTCATGACAGCATGTTATCAGCTTAGTGGAAACCAAGGGTGTAGCATGATAAGCAGTGGTGGTAGTGCACCTATTTTTTTATATTATATAACTTGAAAATATGTCTCTTCTAAGATTCCTTTTTCATGATAAAAATAGTTTTCACCAAACGTTGGTGGTGTGCACACACTACCACTCATGCTTGGCATCACACCCCCGACAGAAACACATGTTCTTATTTTGTTGATAAAAAGTATTAGAAAAATTTCCATACAAAAACTATTTTCATAGAAATCTTGCATTTCCACAAATAAACCTGAACATTTTTTTTTTTTTGGAAAAAAAAACTGCTCAAGAATTTTGTTCATTTAGTACTGTGACTGTATTGAAAAATGCAGTCCTCCTTAAAGTTCTCGGCATTCATTTCTTTTAGGTGACCCGTCCCACTCCCAACATTAGCGAGAATTGCACAGGCTCCATTGAGTTCAATTAGTAGCAGGAACAAGGGTTTCAAAACCCATTCAGGCTAAAATGCAAGCCCTCTATGTATGAAATATACTGCTTCCCACCCCCTTCCCTCTTTTCACAATTATAGAAAAAAAATATTAATTGCTTATATCTAAAGGTTGTAAGATACATTCCTTTGTACTAAGGAAACTTTCATTCATCTAAAAATTGGGTCAAAATTGTGGAAATATTTTTGTTGATTTTTTAGATCAAAGTTCCAACCCAGTTAAATTTAAGTTACTTTTTTCTAAATTATTATTTATTTACTTAGTTCAGTGTCACAAACAGTCCAGAAAAAGCAGGTGAGCATCCTCATATTTATCCTTTTATTCATGGGATTCATGTTTCTTCACTTTTAACATTTCTTCCACCCAGGAAGCTCATATCGCCTGTCCAGATGGTAGTTTCAGTAAACCAGCAGTTACCAACTCTTCTATGCTGGAAAGTTCAGAAGACCATATGGTTTCTTGCTCCACTACAGTTCTGAGATATTACTTTTACTAGACTCCTTCTGTGGTTTGTATGATCTTGGACATTTATTCTCCATCTCCTGGCAACAGTTGAACTTCAAAAGGAACCTGTAACTTCTCACTTAGACTGCATTTGAAACCAGCCACAAAACTCACATGGAACATTCATTCATTCAGAATGGTGCAAACCCATGACAAACAGTGTAACCCTGCATAAATTGGTTGATCCATGATGCTTGTGATTCGAGTCTGGCCATTGCAACTGCTGAGATCACAGAGTCTCTAGTTCATAGACACAGCGGCATGAGGTAACTCATTTTATTTTGCACTTGTTGCATATTTCCACAGGAAACATTCTCGCAAGGTTGTTTGGAAAAAAGACGACAGTTTGTGCTTGGGGTATTTGGCTTCCCAGCTCTATGCCATGGTTTCTTTACCTGGCAACCTTCTATCGTTAAACGTGTGCATGTTGATAACTTCTTCTGTTTTCACAATAACAGGGGCCTGTGGCTTGTGTTTTAATCGACGCTGACACTTCAGAGACATCCTTAGCTCCTCTACCATGGCACTACAGAAGGACCTCTACGGAGGGAAATAGAGGAACAAGAAAAAAGAACGAGTTGTAAGAAATGTCCAACTGCAATGTCTAGGAGCAGAGTCACTGTATTGGCACAGCCTTGTCAGGCCTGTAACTTTCCTTTGTCTCAATCTGAAGCTCAAAGCAAATTGCTGTCTTTAAAATATGCATCACATAATAATTAAAATTACTTATAAAGCTGTGATGACAGTATAAAAGTCACCTTGTCTCTACAGTTATTTATCTTGCAGCTATTGACTATGGATGCAAATGATACATAAAAATATTTCAAGCAGATTTTCTGTCAACATAGGTTAGTCTTGCAGTACAGCATCTGAATGTAATGTGTACATAAGGTATTCAGTGAAATCTCTTTAGCTCTGTTTCAAAACAATAACTTCATTTCTATATGATTTAAATAAGTGTTCCTCAACAAAACAACAAGCTTTAGTATAAAAAGTTTACCTAAATTCTTGTTTAAATACTGTTAAAATTCATTTCCATTACTGAAAACTAATATCTACTCCATTATTTTTAATATCTTCTGTATATAAACACTTTTCCCCCTACTGATTATCATTGTGGGGTATGTGTTAGCAAAACAAAAAAAATCAATCATTGACCTTTATGAAAAGCATATTATTAGAAAAACAGTTTATTAACATCTTTTCAGCAAAAGCTAGACCCTAAAAGCTCTTTTGCCATTTTATAGTGCAAGAAATTTTAAAGGTAAAATAAAACCTCCCTATTCCCTCAGTCTGACTGAATTTTCAACTGCTGATAATGTGCTGAGCAATGAGCCTTGCCTTAGTGTGAGAATTGGAGCATGGATGAAATATGCAAGTAAGGAAGAGGAGTCTTACTTTTGAGATCTGTGAATTAATCACTTTTACCATATACTTTTGTTTAAATGTTTTCCAGCTAATGGAGAAATCTACTAACTAAATAACTCGTCTCAGAAGCTGAGATGTTATGCCAAGTCTCTGCCAATTGCTCTCATCCAAAGCAAATTTGAGGTATAATCTAGCATTTTGCATTTTTCTCTTTTAATAACAAATCTCCAGGCCAGGGAAATGATCTGGAAAAAAAGGCAAATGAACAAACAAAAACCAGACAAACAAACAAAAAACCAATAAAACAATAACAACAAAAAGACAAAGCACCTAGAATTACTATAACTATCTCTTGATCATTGTTTGATTTTGTGTGATTAGTGGTAGTAAATATCAAATTGTCTAATTTATCTCTCAAATAAGAACTCTGCTTCATTTCGGAACTGTTGTATCACCATTATTCATACAAATCTAGAGTTTAGAGATTAGATCCAGAAAATATTTAAGCATTTCACCCCATCTGGTTCTTTGGGAACCTAAATTGAAGCTGTGTTTCAGTCTACATTCAGCTTCCAACCTCCAGGGCTGGAAGCACTCTGAGCTGTAAGACACTCAGTTTTCCACATTAAACTTTATAGCTTCGCTTAGTCCTGGATCCTATCAGAATTCACACTCAAGTTCTCCATGCATGGTCATCAATTCAATAGGTATACTCTGAAAGGACCTAACAAATCAAGTTCCTTAAAAAATATGGCAACAGCTGAAGAAGGACATGTGACAGATATTACACTGTTCTTCTGTGCAGCCAGTCACCAGCTGGAGCATTAGAGCTGAATGTGAAAGACGTTTGAGAGTGTCAATTTAATAGTGTCTGCCAAAGGAGATTTAAAGCTTCAGTGTCTCGGTAAACAGCTGTAACACACAGGCATTAGATGATTCCAAGGTAAAAATACTTGCAGTTTCTGCCTACTGCTCCTGATCCACTTTGCATGGAAGCAGTTAACAGAGGCAAAGTGAGGGAAAGGGAGAGAGGGAAAACACGGACTGTTCTGTAGATTAGGGATGCGAGCACACAGTGGCAGAGGAAAAACTTCAGCAGTAGTTCCTGTTTCAGTAAGGACTTTTACATAAAATTCTGATTTGTGCAGAAGAATGCAAACATGAGTTGTCTCAGTCATGGGTTAGAACTCTACCTTAATTCATCAAATCCTGAAAGAAATGCCCTCTTCCTTAATCCTTTGCATGAATAAGGGAACAGGCAGGTAGGAAGAAAAGGGCAATCTTACTCTGGCTGTGATACTCTTCCTTTGAAACCTTCCTTTCTCCTACTGAGTTTGAAATAAAGGAATGATACTTAACTTGCAATAAAAAGGGTTTAACCACCTACAACTAAGAAGAGTTTAAATCGTGAGTCCAAAGGAGAGGAAGGTATATCTCTCTAGTTCAGAGCGAAGTACAAGTTCTTCAAAGGCAAATATGTTAGATCTTTATGCATAAGGTATCTTTGCTGAGCATTGTGAAGAAAGCAGGAAGCTGTACCTCCTTATTCAGCTATACTTTGAAAGCAAATATTCAATTGTCTTAGATTTTCTCTTTGTTTTTTTAAGAAATTCCTGTTGCTTAACATCAAACTGCAATTATGATTATGAAACTGAAATTAACCTCAAAATCTTTCAAAAGGGCAAGATTTACTTTAGTATTCCCTATGTCTTACAGGCTAAATTGCTAAGGCTTTAAGATCTTGGCATTTCCACTATGTGATGAACCTAGCATATAACTCGGGAATTTTATAGGGAATCCATTAGGAAGTAAATGGTGCAACTCAGCACTATACCACTTCCAGCCATTATATGGCTCTCACTTCTGGAACTAAAGACATAACATTTTGAGGAACAAAATTAATTTAATTTTAAAATGATGCATTAGCACTGAACACTTTCAAGATTTCAACCCTTGTCTTTTTTTGGCAAGACATCTAACAAGAGTGCCAAATTAGAATAAATGCTTTTTAACATGCATCATTCCACCAAAACCTTTGCAAAGATCTGTAAAGGGTATAAATTTTTAGGGAATATCAGTAGGAAAAGAATTACAATCAATATCCAAGAGGCGAGAAGATACATGTTAACGTTCTGAAATATGCTGAAAATGAGATCTCAAGAAACTTGACAACACATTTTATCTGAAAATTTTACCTGGATATGAAAACTCATTAAATGAGAAATGTCAGAATTACTGACAGTTTTAAAAAAGCAGATAACCCAATTTTGAGAGTTATTTTATATAGAAAATTCTCCCGTTCTGTGTTTTCAAATTATTTTACATATATTAAGTTTATGGAAACTTATCTGCACATACTGTAATAAAAATATTGTTACTGATTAAGAGAATTGTTACATATCTTCTTTTTTTTTCTCTGTTTCAAGTTTCATTCACTGAAATAGTCATGTATTTTAAACAGAGATTATTTCAAGGCTATGTAAGAGTTCCTGAATGGCATCTTTATTCTTCTTTGGATTCTCTCTGAGAAGCATAAGGAAAAGTTTTCACACATACAAAAAAATCATATTCAAAAATGTTAGAAAGGATTACTTTATGTTTTACTTTTTAAATTGAAATTATTAATTGTTGTCTCGTTTCAATTCCAATCAGTGTAGTCTTCATTTTCTGTACAGTTAAACCTTGTGTTCTTTCAGTGTTAGCATACAACTTTTGGAATAATAAAGCAAGAAAACAAGAAGCAGGTCCAGAATACTTTTTTTTCTTGTGACAAATAAAAGACATTTTCAGATATGAGTTTAGAAAATATAATCCAATGCCTTGATCCTCAATCCAATTGACCAGTCAGATTGCTAGGGGAAAACAGCAAAGTGTTTATAGAACTTACAGGGTACATTTCAAAACTGTTGTCTATCATGAAATTGAGCACTTTTAGTATATATTACAAACCTCTCTCCACTTAATTCAAAGAAAATAACCTTTTGCCCCCAACTTACCTTCCACACTGCAGGCATGTTACAAGAACATCAGTTATTATTGATTTTCCACTAACCCTTACAAAATCATAAGTTGTCTTCTTAACAGCTACCAGAAAGTAAATGCTCCCTCCAAGTTATCTTAGGTATAATCAAATGGTAGAAGAGTTTAAGGATGGCATACAGCTCTCTAAACAATAGTGCAGTTTTGTGCATGTGTTTTGTCACAGCAAATCATGATAAAACATTACAAAAAAGTATACAAAAGAAAATTTTAGTCAGAACTGTAGTTCTTATCCTTCTAACACAAAACAATTTTTGAAAAAGTTCACCTCCTTAAGATGAATAAAGAAGTAATTGATACTTCTGAAGTTCTTTACCAAAAGTGAGAGCTCACAAGTCGTGTAGAATCAAATTTTGTGAAAAGTTACCACTGCTTACAATCTATTTAGACAGCTTGTGCATGGCTTTACTGCCAGAGAGAAAAAATATATCTTTGCATATACGTATTAATACAAAAGGTAGGTAATACTTACACTGTTTTCATTATTTTGATTTATAGGGATTTAGAAAGGTAATCAGAAATCATATTAGCATTTGTTAGACATGGAATTATGAGACTACCACCATAGATTTTGCTTTCAACAACCTAAAAAGAGCAACAGAAAGACAGGAACAGTATGCCTGCCTCATTCAAAACATTCTGATTTAAGTAATTAATAGTCAATATGTTTAAAGCATAAAAATCTCCAATCATTTGCTGATTTATATTTTTCCCTTCTTTGATGCAGATAATATAACTGACAACGTTCAATAAAAAGCTTTAAAATTCACTCAGAAGTTCACTGCTTCCAGTCTTGTGTGTTAGATTCTATTTGAAGCTTTGTTCAATTACCTTAAAGAAGTAAAAGCAGTAATCCTGCATTGTCTTGTTATGGGCCATTGTTCTAGCATCTAGCAGGACATATCCATCAAACTGCTTCTTGTCTTGAAGTTAGCTGAGAATGAATGTACCTAGGTCAGGCCTACCATCACCCTCCCTCCTAATAATTTCCTGACTCCTATGCCACTCCTTCAGGGATTTTGAATATATATATATGGAAAATCTGTCAACCTTAAAACCTCCAGACAGAAAAACAAACCCTATCAAAATATTGACTTAGGATGACAAAGATGTGAACATTAAAGGACAGAAAA